TGGACTTAATGCTGGTTTCGGCGGCCTAATAGCAAACAGTCTTTATCGGCGCATCTTGCACGTGACCCAAGCTCGACTAGTTTCTAGCTTACCAATGGCCATGATGCCATTTTTGACAGCAACTATGACTTATGGAGGTTTTGTAAGCATACCTTTGAGTAGAGGTATGTTTTACTTCATTATTTGCCTTAGTACTCACTATCTGCAGCTTTACCTAATACCAAAATGTTAATACTAAGCAGCTGTAAGCTATAATGCAGTACTTAGGGAAGACTGAATCTTGCTAGCCTGCTATGCTACAACTAATTCACACTACGTCTGCCAACCAAGCACAGTGAGTACATATACAATAGTCCTATTTCCTGAACTGAAGCAGCGCTCCTGTAGTGCCACTGCCTTTGTGTCTTCTGTTCAGTTGTTCTTTCAAGGGAAAGTATGTTGTGGGAAACAGCACTGTAATCTCTGAAAGTACTATGTGCATGTGTAGTGTTTAGCAAAAAAAAAAAAAAAAAAAGCTTCCATGTGCCATGTATCCTATTCTGTGTATGTTCTGAATGAAAACAAAAATACCACAATGTTTGTCAAGGAGGGCAATTTTATGTTTTATTTTCTGTTAAATACTGATTCAGATTTCTAAGAATCCACATCAAGTTAAGAATTATTTTCCTGTTTACTAGTCATTTCCCACCCAAGGCTAAGCATGTACTCATGCCACTGAGCTACATTCCATCCTTTGAGCACGACTTACAAAATCATTTTTACTGTGTCACTGAAAATGTGAACCCTCTGCTCTTTAAATCATGTCTGCTTAAATATCCTGACCATCACTTACACAATTTATTTCCTAGGTGATTTGAACTGTGAAGCTTGTGCCATGAGCCGGGGCGCACTAGTTAGTTTTGTTATGGGTGGCGTATACCCTATCCTTTTTGCTCTATCTGTGAATGGGGGCCTTGCTGCCAGGTAGGACTGTTTTCTATTTTAAAAACCTTTACTTATATGACTACCTAAGGAACTCAGAACTTAAAGAGCAAATATATTCTCCTGTGAAGTCATTTAGACCCAAGGCAGTGTTTACCTTCTCTGGAGTTTAAAAATAGTTGTCATGCTGTGCCTCTACAGTTCAGGCCACTAACCACCTTCATTGTGTATTGAATGCTTGCTACAAAACAAACCAGTTTGAATGCTGTTAAGTCTAGCATTAACAGCTGTATCATATAAAATATTCTTAGGAGTGTGCACATGTGTTCTAAAGGAAATGCTATTAACAAGCTGCTACCTGTAAGGTGTATTGAATGCTTGCTACAAAACAAACCAGTTTGAGTACTGTAAGTCTAGCATTAACAGCTGTATCATATAAAATATTCTTAAGAGTGTGCACATGTGTCCTAAAGGAAAATGCTATTAAACTGCTACCTGTAAGGCTTTCACACCAAAATCATTCCAGTTATTCTCTGAACTCTTGTAGCAGTCTATTCTGTGTACCTCCAGAGGTGAACTAAAGAAGCACAAGAAATCCGAGTCATTTTTAAGACTGAAGAGAAGGCATTAATGAAAATGTCTATGAAACCCATTGCGACCAACAGTGAATACATATGCCAATAAAAAAGGAAAACTGCCATTATTTTTAGATACTTTTAACTTAAGACTTGTGGGACTTACTTACATGTTTGATAATCAATATGCTTTCTTATAGGTTTAAATCAAGCTTTCTACCAACTAAAGAAAACTTCTTCTATTACTGGATTACAGTTTCTAAGCCTGTCTGTAGAAAGATGGTATTTCCCATTTTACTTCAGAGTGTGTTTGCAGCATACCTTGCGTCTAGACAATACAAACTCCTAATAAAGGCCCTTCAGTCACCTGAACCTGAAACTGATTTAAAGCAATCACCTGAACCTGAAACTTCACTGATTTAAAGCAAATCACCTGAACCTGAAACTTCACTGATTTAAAGCAAATGACAAAAATAAAATGGTGAAAATAATCTGTGTCGTGTCTCTTATATTAAAAATACTCATCTTTTAAAAGATACAACTCTGCCCTGCGATGAAAAGCCTACAGAGCACCAAAAGTTGGAGCCCCAATTAAAAACTACATATGGGGCAGTTTCAAGGCTGGGAATGTAAGTTGGTTGCAGAATGCTTATTTTAGCAAGCAAGAGGACCTAGATTTAATCTCTAGCTCAAAAAAAAAAAAAATTTAAGAGAACATAATTTTTCTAATTTGCCTAATACTGTTTCTTAGCCATTGCCAGGACCAGTCCATTACATTAAGGCATTTAGCTTGGTCTATAGCACAAGAAAAAAATAACACACAGCAATTCGGAACAAGGTCCTCCTAAAGCCAAACAGAAAGGAGAACTATTTTTTCTGACTTATAAACATGGCCTGTTACTTCTTTTTCTCTATTCAGGCTGTTTCCATGAGTGCCACACGTCTTCCTCACAAAGGACCAATCAATCCCAGCCTATGTCCTTGGGAGCTGCAGGGTTTACAAAGTCACTTTCTTGAGCTTCAACCTACTATGGGGCAGTTCTTTAGATTCTCAGGCTTGAGCGTCTTTTTCCCCCCATGTATGGGGCTGAGCAAGTTAACCTCTTAATTCAGTGCCTGAGTAACCTTGCTTTCTGATGCAAGTTCATGGAGTCATTTCCTCAGATCATTTATGTTCCACTGCCTTCTTCCCAAGTGTTTCATAGCCTTCTTGTTTAAACTACTACTATTGTGGCATCCAGATGAACACTGTCCAAAATACCTGCACTGTTAATAGCTTCTAAGAGCCTGAGCTGTGGATACACAGCCTCGATAATCACAGGAGACCAAATCTTGAAGCAGCCAGTCACACCACAGAAGAGTAACAATGTCTAAAACCACACTAAGTATGGTTTCATTCCTAAGTACATCTTAACTATTCCTTCCCAATACTGTGACTCGTTGATTTAGAAAAGGGATGTGAAATTGCCTATTTTACAAGGAATATTAGCAAAAGTAAAGGCTTTCTGATACAAAACTGTCCACCTAAATTCTCACTTTCAATTCATAATTCAATTGATCAAAGTAAAAAAAACCTATTAAAATTACTTAGATTGCTGAGGTATATAGATGGTATAATCAACTTACAGTAACTCAAAATCTAGTGATATAACCATGTTGTTTGATAAGTATAAACTGTTTACTATGCTTGAAATGGTCCCAGGACCTTACTCCTAACACTCTAGCTATAAATGTTTAACTGTTTCTATCACAAAAGGATTCCTGAACTCTTCGCTCTGCTACATAGTCAAATACTCTTTTTAAACTAGTAGAAATGGGCAAGTAATGCTGGGTGGTGGTGGCGCACGCCTTTAATCCCAGAACTCAGGAGGCAGAGCCAGGCGGACCTCCGTGAGTTTGAGGCCAGCCTGGGCTACAGAGTGAGTTCCAAGAAAGGTGCAAAGCTACACAGAGAAACTCAAACAAGTTTGAGTCTCAAAACACCAAAAAGAAACAAAAAGAAATGGGCAACTAAGCAATAAATGCTTAGTCTACTGCTTCAAGTCTACAAAAAGCCTGTTCAGAAGGCAGGTACATGACATGACCAGTGAGTAACATGAAAACCTATGGAAACTTAAGCCTTCTGTAGCTCAGACCTAAGAGCAATGACTCAGTGAGGAAAATGGTTAAGATTTCAGTCCAGTTAAAGTAGACAACCATTAAAAATATTTAGGATTTTACAATCTACTCTGTCCAGGTACACGGCTTTAAAGAATATTCATTGTACACAGCATATACATGTGTACTTACGTGTTTGTATACATATATTATTAAAATCCAAACTCAGTTAAGAGCCAGAAGGGTCTAGGAATTGACCCCCACAGGAAAATACAAAATTTGGAAACACCATTGGGCTATAATAAAATGCAAATTCTTACACTCACAGGATTATACAATGCTCCAAACATAATTTGTGACTAGATCTATAAACTAGTTAACATAAAATATTTTCAGATAGTAAATTTTTTTTTTTTTTTTTTTTTTTTAGGTTTTTCGAGACAGGGTTTCTCTGTGCAGCTTTGCGCCTTTCCTGGATCTCGCTCTGTAGACCAGGCTGGCCTCGAACTCACAGAGATCCGCCTGCCTCTGCCTCCCAAGTGCTGGGATTAAAGGCGTGCGCCACCACCGCCCGGCTCAGATAGTAAATTTAAATCAACAAAAATTATATAGACTATTATATAAAAAAGGGTAACCGGTTAAATATTGAGCCCACACATAATAGTATTTAAACTGAACTATATGAAAAATTCTGTAGTGGCCATAATGGAAGACCTTTTTAATTCCTAAGTAAATAGATGGAGTAGAGAACTGACCCAGGAAAACAATAAAAATATAAAGGTGGGTCTTACAACTTAGAATCAACATACAAAGAGGAGGGGGCGGACACAAATATTACTTATTCAACTTTGAAAAATCATTTATTTAGTTAAAAAAAAAAATGGCCGGGCGGTAGTGGCATATGCCTTTAATCCTAGCACTCAGGAGACAGAGGCTGGCGGATATCTGTGAGTTCGAGGCCAGTCTGGTCTACAGAGCACATTCCAGGACAGGCTCCAAAGCTACACAGAGAAACCCTGTCTCGAAAAACCAAAAAAAAAAAATTGACTGCATCTATAAGCACTTAGATCTCTACCTTCAAAATACCTCAACCAGATTAACTGTGTATTAATATATACATTATTAGTGAACTATCCACACTACATCTTGATAGCAAAGTATCAGTACCTAAACCTTTGACTGTGGATCAGCTGTACTACAGGAGCATCACCTTCTTTAAATATAAGCCTGTGGGAGTTCTCTTCATTCTTTGGCTTTATGGACACTGAACACATAGGTGAATACAAGAAAGAGAGAGGACCTGAATGAATCTTGAGTATCATACAGTTACAGTGTAGTAACACTACTTCCTATCAACTCCCTCTTCTAACTGCATTATTACCCAAGTGAGCCAAAAAATAAAATGACTTAGTCTAGAGCAGATGAAAAATGTTATTAGTATAATCCAACAATAATGAAAAAAATGACTGGGTTCTGAGTGGTTTTTTTTTTACTTGTAATATGATATAAGCCATTATCATCCAAAACATGAAGGTCCTTACAGAACACTCAGAAATGTTAACAGAACAGTAGAAACTGTATCATTCATCAGAAACCTCAACACATTCAAACAGGATCAAGTACTCAGAATGTCCAAAATGCCAAACCTGGGATTGCACACAAACTCATGTAACCCTAAATTGCATTACCACCCACATATTATCTTAATCATTTTTTAAATATTGTTACACAATCAATGCGTCTATTTAAAAACACTATTCTTTAAGTTGAGGACTTTATTCTACTCAGCAAGGTGTCTGTCTTCCAAAGCAGTTCTTTACATTCCAGAAACACAAACTCATGGTAAGTTCTGTGATCACTGCTAACCTACTTATGTCACGCTAGCCCACTAAATCTAAGTCCACAGAATGTGTTTTTGATTGTGTAAAAATCTAGTTTCTTAATAAAACACTATAATTCTCTTCTCCAATGGTTACAATTTTTTATAATATGCAATAAATTTAGTGTTACTGCTATGAAAGAAAAAAAGATGTAATTTTGTTCCAAAATTAACTTAGTCTCATGGATTTCTATTAAGTCTTTCAAGCATTCCAGAGAATCTTTTCATATCTCCATTTCTGGAAAGTGTAATCAGTATAGAAGTAATTTGGGAACTTGGAAATGGCATTCATGTTTTGCAGCAGATGCCAAATTTTTGACCGACATGGCTCCCACAATTACTGTTACCATCAGTCCAGTCAGTTAACAGGTTGTAGGAAAAGATTCGTTTTTGCAGATACTGCTAAGCTGTTTAAAGAGAAGAGAAAGAGATTAATTTAGCGAGTATAAAATGCACAAATATTTAAAATACTTCGTTGGATATATCAGAGGTGTGACTACATTTTTAACAAACGTACTTTTTAGTTAAGCCTGGTTAAAAAAAGGATAAAACTTAAGTCACTAGTATAGAAATACTATGCCAATATGTGTTAGCTAGTTAATTAATGTATGAATATTGACTACCATAGGAAGACAAGTATTAAAAAGCTTTATCTTTAGGTTTTCTATCACTTTTACCACAAAGGTACAAATCAGGAAAAAAACCTGAGATATTTCCCTAAATACTAAGTTGTTCTCAACCATCACATTAAATACATCCAAACCTGAAAATTTCAATATATTTTATATTCCAGAATTCTCTACCAAAATACTAATTATTTATAACACAATTTCTAAAAATAGTAAGACAACAGTTTTATATTAATCATAACTTTTTTAATTAACAAGTAGTGAACAGGACACTTTAAGATACTGTTTACTACACACTGAAATAAACAACTGTGGTAAATTGAGAAACCCAAACATTTACAGTAAAATGTGCTTACACATAAATATGATAAAATTTATTTAAAGCCCCTGATAGGTCCTAAATACATGCAGTTATCATGTAAAAACAAGACCATATGAGTTGGTTCAAAAAAAAAAAGGAAAAAAAATGACCAAAATCACTGTCACCAAAACTAGAAAAGAAACAATGAAATGGAAATAGGAAAGACAGTTAATAAAACATACAGAACCTAACAAAGCAGCTTTAAAATTAGGCCATTCTAATCTTGCCATTGTCAAGACCTCCCTAAATTCTCTAAACTGCCATTTATAAAATGACATTCTAAAAGTCTGTACTTGGAATTTCAAAACATCCCAATTCAGAAACTGATTCTCCCCAAGCCCACATCTCAAATGCAGGAAGAGCAGACGTTAAGAAAATATTCCACGGAAATGTATAATTTTTAGGAAAACAAACTAACTGCTTCCAGAACCTTTTGATTAAGCCCACAGTCTGTATTAACAACAATCATTTTTCCTATTTGTATCCACTACTTTCCAATGTCATGTTAAAGATGAAGAAATTCTTTGAGCCCATAACTGAAAGATCAACAAACCTGATTTTATTATGACACCATATTTTTGTCATCGGTACTGCACAAAATTATATACAAAGAAATATATACAAAAATGTTCAAGTATTAAATTTCAATTCAAGGCTTCTGTTTCAAAAGCTACATTTAACATATTTCAGAAAGAGCACAAATTAGTCATTTCAAATAATTTTCCAACTACTTTTGGTTTATATATATTATATATATAATTCAGTAGGCACTAAAATCCATGCAGCTGCATTGTGGGGGCTTGTTCCTGCCCTTGAAGAAGCAGGTCCATCACTCCAAGTTGTGAGAGTTTGGCTACTACCCATTCATGCTCAAGTGCAGTGGATAACTTTACAAAATGTAATATACTGAAAACCAGAGACTAATTTAGGTCTCAAATCATATTATCTAGCAACGAAACAATTACAGTTAGTTGTGCAAGAACAAGATTCCATTTCCATAACCAAGTAACAAAATAAAACATCTTACGTGTAAGATAACTTACATCTTTGGACTGCTGGAAAATACTTAATTATGAACATTTTAAAAATAAAAGACAGCAGAAGCCCTGATATTACCTCTTTTTCCTTATTTCTTATACTACCTTTTAAAATAAAGCAGGAAATGTGGCCAGCAGCTGGTCCCGTCTCTTCTGCCCCAACAGCTGTATCCACTTTAGCACAAAGAAAAACAAGGATGCTAAATACGTATATCCTTTATCAAACAGTGATGTTTCACAAAGAATTTAATGTCTCTTGCACTTCAGGACATCGGAACACAGATTAAGACAAGTGGACAATAAACAGTATTTTAAGGGAAGAACATTTTCCATCTTTGGAAGAACAGTATCAATCATATCATTAAGTGGCCAGAAGGATTTAATTTTAAAAGGTCAGAATATGGAAAACGAGATTCTTTGTGAAGCCTCACTTTACATGTTTTCATTCACATTTCACAACCTTCAGTATCTAATCATACACAAATTTAGCCTAAATTTTAATACAACAAAAATAAATGCTTTCAACAATTTCTTCAAACTCAGTGATAGGTAATTACTGTGCTGGTTCTCAAAGAAACATTTCATTAATCATTCTTCCTCTAATTAAGATACAGAAATCTGATGGGTATGTTAATTTCCAACTTCTCAAGTGATGAAATACTAGAATCTTATATAGACTGTATTTCTGTATTTTCTACTGAAAACTAGAAGGCATTCTTGAGTATTTTAAGAGATTTGTCATCTCCAGAAAAATACCACATTTGTGCATGCCTCAAATACTTATTGTCAACCTCTGAAAAGTTGCTCTACAATTGGAATTCCAATTTGCACCTTGTACAACTCGGAACTTCCATTCAACTTCACCTGTTTCACTGTCTCCAAACTGTATGTCTATTAGCAGGTTTCAGTGTACAGTTGGAACCGATGTCATCCAAGGCCATGTCCACACTGGGGACAGAAGAGCTAGGTACACGCAACTCTGAACAAGGGGACACATTTAACAGCTATTTCAACCAGAAGTCACTTTAATTACATTACTGACCAGCACAAGTCTGTTTCCAGGGTGGACAGGGCCCAAATTAAGATCCCCCTCCCACCTTTCCAAAAAGAAAAAGAAAAAGAAAGAAAAACAAACAAAAATATAACACGCACACACACAAATTGAGATGTTGCCCATTAAAGTAGGCTAAACAGCAGAGCATGAGCGTTACGGGAAGAGATGGATCCTTACCAGGTTGTGAGGCGGGAACCACTGCTCTGTAACCCCTACAACGGAGCCTGGCAGGAAGGAAATCACCTAAAAAAGAAACTGTCAGAGAGATTTAATAGTCACAGGTTATCATTAGGAGTTGGTTACAGTGTCACATTCATGCTTTTAGCTAAACACTTAAAAGATTTAATATTACTTTTTTTTTCCGCCTCTGAAATGTGTCCGGTGAAGATGTCCCACTAAGGTGTTTTACATGGTGTAAGGGAGTAGAAAGGGGTAAACGCGGATAAAGAGCAGATTACTTGACCCTACATTTTAAGAGAAGACGACGCCTTCCGAGCGCACGCCGAGCAGAACTCCACCGACACCTTATCCTTGTCCACATGGAGACACACTCCTCCCGCCGCGTCGTCCTCTTCCAGCGGCTCCGGCGGCTGCTTCCCCACCGGCAGGGCGTAGTCATGGTCACCGGCGGGCGAGTCTCTGAAGAGCGAGGTGGTCAGCCGCAGTCCCACGCCGCTCAGCCGGCTCAGCAGGCGAGCCAGTCCGGTCTCGTTGGCTAGGACAGCCCGTAGGTAGCGACTCTCCTCCTGCAGTGCTTGCACGCGTTTGCCCAGCTCCCGATTCTCGGCCCGCAGCTCCTGGTTCTCGGCTGCCAGTCCCCGGACTCGACTCTCCAGCCCCATCACGTACTCCTTCTTCTTGAGCCGATTAAGACGGGCAGCGGCCGCCGCCGCCTTCCGGGGACTCTTGGTCGCCGCTTGGTTGCTGTCGTTGGTGCCACCGCCTCCTCCCGGGGACTTTCTCCGCCTCTTTTCCCCGCTGCCGCGGTCACCGCCGCTGCTGCAGCCTCCGATGCCGTTCAGCAGCCTCTGCAGCAAGTCAGAGAAGCGCTGCATCTCGGCAGCCGCGGTCTCGTCGTCGTCGTCCCCCCTCAACAGGCCGCCGCTATCCGAGCCTCCGCCGGACGAGGACAGGGGCCCAGGCGAGCTGAGCCCGGGCTCCAGGTGCCAGTCCGGTTGCCGAGGGTCCAGCAGATCGGCCAGTTCCAGCCCAGAGAGAAAGTCCATGTCCTCCGGCTCGTCTTTGGGGACCATGGCGGCGATCGCGTCCTCCTCTTCCTCCTCCATCTTCGCGGGCGAGGGCGCGGGCGCGCGCACGGCCACGCTGCCGCGGCTCCCCCTCCGGGCCTCCGGCTCGCCCCCGTCGCCGTGCGGCTGCTCGCGGTCAGGCGATCCCGACCCCGACGTCTCCGCCCCCGCGGCCGCCGCAGTCGGGTCCCCCGGCGGTGCGCGCGTGGCGGGCGGCTCCCGGCTGTCGCGGTGGCTGGACAAGTCGCGGCCCGAGGCTGCCAGCAGCTTGGTCAGGCTGTGCCTCATGGAGCCGGGCGGCGGGCCCGGGTAGGCCGCAGGCCCTCAGACCCCGGGCCCCCGCGCGCACAGCCACGGCGCTGAACGAACCGCACGCACCGGGAAGGTCGGAGTGGCCTCCCGCGGCCGCCCAACCCCCCGCACGAGGCGGGGGGAGGCCGTGGAAGCGAGAAGCGGCGAGACCCGCGAGGACCCGGCCGCGCCACCCAGACAGAGGCCCGGCCGGAAGTTACTCGCTCTCCCTACCCCGCCCACCGCGGCGCGCTCCTCCAGCCATGGTATCGCGAGACTCCGGTGCTTTCAAGGGGCAGTAATTCTAGCTCTGCGGTGATGTCATAGTAACAGCGGCAAAAACAATGAAACCTCGTTTACACTCCTAATTCATCAATGCTACCCAGTACCAAACTCGACAATCCAATACTTGACCTCTACACATGTTTGACGTACCCATATATATAAACTATTTGTGAACAGTTTGTTTTTGCTGTTTCTCCCTAAATTGCAAGCAAAACAACACGTAAGGAAATAAATAGCCACCGTGAAAACAAAAGACTATCCTTCCTAATCTAAATAGTGTTACCAACCTCAGAGTAACTTACCTACTAATGTTATCTAACTCTGGGCGGCATTCAGAAGTTCTTAGTCTCAGATGATCTTTCATACTATTATCACTGCTATTACTACTACTATCATCATCATCATCATCATCATCATCATAGTTATTTTTTTGCAACGTGATCACTTCCAGCATTAACAGCTTTGCTGGGATTAGTTGGCTTGTTTGTTTACTGGTCTGGTTTTTTTTTTTTTGCCATTTGTTTTGTGCTTGTATTTTGTTTTTGTTTTCTTCATTTGTCAAGCTATAGCAATTTCTTTTGCTTTTTAAAATATTGGCTCTTTGAAAAGACCAAGTCAGCTGTCTTGAAGAAAACACATTCTGGATCTGTGGTTCTGGGTTGTTTATGATATTTCTCTAGTTGCATAAGGTATTTAAGATTTGAAGCGTTTACAAATGCCCTACAATATATTGAAACACCACACCATAGCTCATGTTTTCCAAAGAAAGGCCAATGAAGTACAGCTGAGTTAGAGAAGGTTAGTTGCTGAATAGGTCTGCATGGAATCATACACAGTTATTTTAATTAAGCTCAAAATAAATTTGTTTCCTGGCAGTACATATACAGAGGGGGGGGGAATTAAAAGCAGGAAAAACTCAAACTTAGCAGGCAGCGACAGGTCAATGTTATTAAAAATGAAGACACACACACACACACACACACACACACACACACACACACGGGGATTGAGGGTGGTAAGTGTTCTTGGTGGCCTAGGATCTGCACCCTACTCCTTCCATTTCAGATTGATCAACTTATGGAAAGAAAGGAGCTAACAGGCCCATAGTTTCAGGTAAACATGTTCCAGACCAGCTTTGACCACACTGGAAGGCGTGCTGGCCTAAGAAAAAGCATGCCTGCCAGGCCTTTGTCACAGGTAAGAGTGGTGAGGAAGAAGCCCGAAGTTGGCAATCTTTATTATTATGTGTCCTTCCTTTTCCTGTCTGTCCACCCATCAGTTGGTTCTACCTCCTGGTTCTTTGAAACTCACTCCACTTGTTCACATGTAATGTACTGTAAAGGCAAAATACCTGTCACTCAAAGGGAGGAAGAGATGGTTTATTCTTGTGGTGAATAGACTTTGGCTCAGGAACATGCAACTCAGGATGCCCCAAATGACATATTCCAATCTGGAAATAATTTCATGAAGCTCTTATAAAAGCTACAGAAGAATAGAAAGCCATAAAGCAAGGCATTTTTCAAATACACTGGTGGAAACATCAGGTAGGCAGATTACAGCGAATCGAGGAAATCTGTTACAGTTCTCAGATATGTTTAATTAAAAATTCCTAGCTTTGGGGTGGGTAGGAGCTACTGGTCTGTTAAATCAATACTTTCCAAATACTTTTACATGATAGTTAAAAGGATACAAGGTCAGGCATAGAGGCGGGCAATGAATGTTAAAACAAGTCAACATAGCCCAAGACAGTTTCACTCTGTATCTGCAACATCCCAATTCTGCACAATCACGTTGTAACCAATCTTTCAACCATGTGGAATCTTTAATGTAGAGATGTGGTTTTTGTATTTTTGGTTGTTTTTTTTTCCTGGGAAATTCAGTGAATAGTATACATGGTGACAGAAGAACAAATCCACCATTGCCAGGTAAAAATACTTGTAAACTTCCTCCATCTCCAAACTTAACTTACATACCAATAGAGGACCTCAAGTATGTGCTGAGAAAAAAGAGATGAGATAAACAGCAATGAAGGACTGGTTTGAGTGTGACCTTAAAAAGACAGAGGAAGTCTCCTGCCTTGCAAACTTTACAAGTAAAGGGACTCTAATTCCACCTCGATCAGATATGAGCAGTCTTGGAAGTCTGAAGCAGAACACTGAAGAGCAGCCATTTTCATTGAAGAAGACACCTGGATTGGCACCAAGACCAGCTCAGGCCTTTTGTATCAATTTTTTTTCTCTTTGCTTAGATGTTATCTTTCCAAGTGAGCTCCTAGGAGACGTAGAACTATAGGATCAAAAGAGGAAACGAAGTGATTCCCTCTGTTGGAAAGATACTACATCAAAGATCCCTTCACCATCAAGGAAGAGACCCTGTCAGACTATTCTCCTGCCTTCTCAGCCTCGTCTCTATCAGATCCTAGGAAAGTATCTTCCTAGCATGTGGGGACACAAAACAGTGTTTGGCTTTCAAATGCCCAAAACGTGATGCTTCACCAAAAAGGAGCAACTGTGAATGGAAATCCCTCAAAGGCTACATCTGTGTTACAGATTGTGAGATGGAGTGACAAGAACAGCGTGGAGAGTCGGGATACTGCAGAGTCAATGCCAAAGTTATTCAGCTGTCTTTGGTCCCTTTCACAGCAGTTTACCACCATACCTAACATCATTCTCACTATCAGATAAAGCTTTGTAGTATTCCACCAACTCAAAAGCTAAGAATGTTCAGATGGTATCTGAAGCCTGTAGGAGGGACCTGCCCACCTGATGTCCCCAGGTAAATGCACTGATTTGTTCAATGACTATAAAAGTCTGTGTAACCTCTTTCATGGTGGAACATATCATTTGGGGCAACCTGAATCCATGTTCCTGGGCAATAGTCACTCATATTTGGCTCAGAATAAACTCTTACATTCTTTTTAGTGCAAAAATAAAAGTAAATAGAGATGAATTTTTTACAACTTTTCTATTCAGGTAAAAAGAAAATTCTATGGAATATATGGTGTGTGTGTGTGTGTGTGTGTGTGTGTGTGTGTGTGTGTCCTCAACAATGGCTACTTTAATATGGCAGTTTCTTATTGTGGGATAATCGTTTTGTACACTGTGAAGATGTGTCTGTTATACCTCATCTACCTAAGGCACCTTCAGGTTGGTTAAATAAAGAGCTGAACAGCCAATAGCTAGGCAGAAGAGGATAGGCAGGACTTCCAAGGAGAGAGAGGAACTGGGAGGAAGAACCTGAAAGGCAGGTGTTCACCAGCCAGACACAGAGGAAGAGGAAGTGGGATGTACTGTACTGAGGAGAACTAATGAGCCATGTGGCAGATCACAGATTAATATAAATGGGTTAATTTAAGTTTTAAGAGATAGTTGGGAACAAGCCTAAGCAAAGGCCAACCTTTCACACTTAATAAGAAGTCTCCATGTCATCATTTGGGAGCTGGCAGTCCAAAGAAAGTCCAACTATAGTTTTATGGAGAGGTTCCTAAGAAAGCAAGAGATTAAGATATCAAACCTGCCGGGCGGTGGTGGCGCACGCCTTTAATCCCAGCACTCGGGAGGCAGAGCCAGGCGGATCTCTGTGAGTTCGAGGCCAGCTTGGGCTACCAAGTGAGTTCCAGGAAAGGCGCAAAGCTACACAGAGAAACCCTGTCTCGAAAAACCAAAAAAAAAAAAAAAAAAAAAAAAAAGATATCAAACCTTCAGAAACGTGCCTAGGCAGCATAGGTTTCAACAAATGCTTGTTAGTGAATGAATGAAAAAGAGCTACATTTTTGGTCAAAGGCAGAACACTATAACCTGACTAAATGAAAATGATTTTGCAAGGGACAAAAACAAATATTACTCTGGTATCTTGCCAAGCAATTAAAAGACCCTCACACCCTTTTAAACCTCCTCAGGAGAAGGGTTCGCAAATGCAGAACAGTCACACACAGATCACAGTGGTGTTCACTCTGGCTTGCCTCCAGGTGTCGTGGGACTGGAAATGCCATCCCCATTCAACTATATACTTTTATCTGAGTCAAAACTCACCATCATGGATTGATTTATTATGTCTTTACTAAATTATGAAATTCTGGCTTACATGTATATGATTTAAATCTCTCTCTCTCTCTCTCTCTCTCTCTCTCTCTCTCTCTCTCTCTCTCTCTGTGTGTGTGTGTGTGTGTGTGTGTGATTTATTTATTTATTTTGCATACCAACAAAATTTTTCCCTCCTTCCTCTCCTCTGGCTCCCTCCCCTCACCTCCTTTCTACACGCCCCCCCCCCCATCCACTCCTCAGAATGGGAAAAGCCTCCCATGGGAGTCAACAAAGCATGGCATTTCAAGTTTAAGCAGGACCAAGCTCCTCCCCTCTACATCAAGGTTGAGCAAGGTATCTCCCATCACAGGGAATAGGTTTCAAAAAGCCATCTCATATGCTAGAGACAGATCTTGGTCCCAGTGCCAGGGGCCCCACAAACAGACCAAGCTACACAACTGTCACCCACATGCAGAGGGTCTTGGTTGGTCCCATGCAGGCTCCCGAGCTGTTGATCTAGAGTCCATGAGCTCCCAGGAGCTCAGGTCAGCTGTCTCTGTGGGTTTCCTCATCATGATCTTGATCCACCTTGCTTATATAATCCCTCCTTCCTCTCTGCAGCTGGACTGCAGAGCTCGGCCCAGTTCTTGGCTATGGATCTCTGCATCTGCTTCCATCAGTTACTGGATAAAGGATCTCTGATGACAATTAAGGTAGTCAACAATCTGATTACAGTAGATGGCCAGTTCAGACACCCTTTCCACTACTGACTAGGAGTCTTAGCTGGGGTCATCCTTGTGAATTCCTGGGCTTTCCCTGGCACCAGGTTTCTCCCTAACCCCATATGGCTCCATCTATCAAGATATCTCTTTCATTGTTCTCCCTCTCCATCCCTCCCCTAACTAGACCATCCTGATCCCTGTAG